ATTCAGAATAACCAGAATAAACAATATTCAAAGCCATAAAGAAAATAATGGTTCTAAAGTTAATATTGATGCATGTATGCAAGTTTAAAGTCTATCACAGGGCACCTGGGTGGCTCAGTGTTTGAGCTTCTGATTTTGGCTTTGAGTGTGATCCAGGGTTCAGGGATCTAGTCCCTCATCTGGCTCCCTTCAGAGAGCCTGCTTTTCCTTCTATGTCTCTGTCTCTCTCTGTGCATCTCTCATGAATAAATAAAATCTTTTTAAAAAATAAAGTCTATCACATACAAAGAAAAGAAAGCACTCCAAGAAACTCATTATAATACACAGTTTAATAGCTGAACTAGAACAATGATAAAAAATACAGTTCACATATAAACAGGAAATAACAGGTTACATGTAAAGAAAATAAAAGATAAGAGAAAATTATGGTACTGGAGAAACAAAAGAAGAGGTAAGGAGAAGAGAAGGGAGTTAAGGGAAGGAAAAGGGAGGAAACAGAATAAATAAGAAATGTCTAGTTATATGCTGCAACACCAAATTTTGGAAAACTGGTATAAGTTGTTCAGAATTTTTTAAAAGACAATGATTATATTTAAAATTACCCATATTGTATTAAGCATTTGTTTGATCACTTTCTTTCCTAAATAAAATGTCAATTTATGAATATGCAATAATTATACTCTCAAATAACATCTTTGATATGCTCCTATGAATAACGCTACTCTGAACATTCTTTTATGTGTCTTTGGGAGCAAATATTTGTACATGCCTTTGGTTTAATATCTAGGAGTGAGATTCTGGATCACACTGTAGTTTTAGGTTCTCTCTTGGTGTACTATATCAACTGTATTCCAAGGCGGTTGTACCAATTTAAACTCTTGTCAAAACTATAAAACTATTTACTCTATATCCTTCCCAACATTTGGTATTGCAAGTGTTGCAGCAGCTCATTTTCATTTTAATTTGCATTTTCCTGATGACAAAGATGATGGAATATGTTTTTATCAGTTCTCTGTTTAGATACCTTTGCAGGGATGGCAGCTAAAACTTTTAACCTTTTCTCTTTAAAATATTCAATTCATTATTGATGTATAAGATTTCTTTATATATTTGGGATGGGATTTTGTCAGTTACATATGTTGGCATATATTTTCTTCCAATCTACTTCCATTTTTTAAGTTAAATTATTTTGATGGGAAAATTTTCTTTATCTTACTGTAGTCCAATTTTTATTTTTTATTTTTATTTTTTAAATTTCTATTTAACTTCCAGTTAGTTAACATACAATGTAATATTAGTTTCAGATGTGGAATTTAGTGATTCGACATTTGCATATGTTACCGGTGCTCATCACAAGTGTACTCCTTAATCCCCACCACCTATTTAATCCATCTCCCCACCTACCTCTCCTCTGGTAACCATCTGTTTGTTCTCTATAGTTAAGAGGCTGTTTTCTGGTTTGCCTCTCTCTTTTTTCCCCTGTGTTCATTTGTTTTGTTTCTTAAATTGTACATATGAGTGAAATAATATATTTGTCTTTATCTGTCTGACTTATTTCACTTAGCATGATATTCTCTTCCATCCATGTTATTGAAAATGGAAAAATTTCAGTCTTTTTATGGCTGAGTAATATTTCAATATACATGTTTATATATAAATATTCAATATTTATATTCAAGGGGATCCCTGGGTGACGCAGCGGTTTGGCGCCTGCCTTTGGCCCAGGGCACGATCCTGGATGATAGTCACACAGAGAGAGAGAGAGAGGCAGAGACACAGGCAGAGGGAGAAGCAGGCTCCATGCACCAGGAGCCCGACGTGGGATTCGATCCCGGGTCTCCAGGATCGCGCCCTGGGCCAAAGGCAGGCGCTAAACTGCTGCGCCACCCAGGGATCCCCTTATTTGTCTCTTGTAACAGTTTTTGACTTATAGGATATTTCAAGTGTATGTGTGTGTGTGTATGTGTATAATGAACATATATGTAATATATGTTATATGCATTGAATATACACACAGAGACACATAGACATACTCAGGGTGGTAAAATGAACCATTTAGGGGATAAAAGGAAACATTGATATTATAGGTGTTTTAGTACATTTTTGGGATTTTATAATTATGTACTCAGACCATTATTTTATAAATCAATAAAAATGGAAAGCACATCATTTTTATGAATATCAGATCTCTTAGAGTCCACATCAGGAGGAAGACATTTAACTTTGATACACTTATTGTTTTATAGTTTCGCTCCTGCTTAAACAGCTGATCAATGTAAAATAACCTCAAAAGTCCCAAAGGACCTTTACTTCAGAGCCCTCTGAGACATCAACTATAGAGATCCAATCATATGTAGACACTCAAATCTGGAGAATCCTCAAAGGGCGCAGCAATACTATGTAGAGGTGGAAACTGGTTGTTATAGAACTCTTACATGCTCAGGAGTCTCAGTCATGTCTATGAATCTGGTTTTTGCTGATACTGAGGTAAGTTTGGGTGATTCCCAAAGACTTACATTTTCCCAAAATGTAAAACTTATAGTCCAAGACATATCAGTGTTTGAAATGTGGTTGATTGTAGGCTTAGTATTTCTTCTTGACTACAACCAGAATAAATGACCATTTACTTAGGGGCTAAGAGGAAAAACAGCATACCCCTACTCATGAAATAAATTTAAAACTACCTCAGAATTCATTCAATAAAAAAGTTTCAACAATAATGGGCTCCAATGGGAGGAAAACAAAAGCTTTTGCCTTAATAGATATCTGTACTCAGAGCTACTTCTGGTGGAAATGGTCTTTGCAAGCAAATGGAAAGTAACTGAAGAATAGACTTGAATCCTAGAAGGCATTGAGAGGAATTTCTGAAAAAAAGGATTTACTATAGAAATCTTCTTGTACAACCCCCCTACCAGGAGCCATACAGTGTCTATGTGAACAAGTCCAGAAATAGGAATCCAGCTATCTCACAGACAGGTTCTCTCTTAATAGGAAGATTTCCTCCGCAAAGGTACCTCCCTTGACTAGAGACTGATTTTCTGTAACTTTATACATTTATACATTTATTCTTTCTCTTCCCTAAGACACTGTTAAGAACAAGTATTCTCCTCTTCCTATATCATAATTAACTGTGTAAGTTAGTTATACCCAGAAACTTTTCCTCAGGATTATGCCCAGAAACTATTCCTCAGGATTAGAATCACTAATTTAGGACAATGGATAGATATTGATTAAACATATGGCTTCAAAGTCAAACCAACTTAAATCTTGGCTCTATCAGTTTTCAGTGTTGTCAACTTACACATTCTATTGAGTTATTGTGCACTTACATTCACTTATATATAAAATGAGGTTAATTACATATATTCATGGCATTATTATAGGTTTGAATTCAAGAGTCAACCCTGCTGAAATAATAAGTCCATTAGTGGAGCAGATGTTGTTTGTTTTGTTCACTAGGGTATCCCCAAAACTAGAATGATACTTTGCATGTATATCAATCAATAAATACCTGTTAAGTGAATAATATGTATTTTAGCATATAATATGACAATTATTATTATTATAATAGATCACGTATACTGATTACTTACTAAATGCCAGGCAACACTTAAAGGATTAGCTCTCATTTAACCATTCTAGTACCTCTAGAGTCTATACTATTATCACCTTTACTTTAAAAATGATGAAAATTGTACAAAGCTTTGAGATTTGTTCAAGACCATCCAGATAGTTAGTGTTGGAAGCTCATGGAGCCCCAGGGTCTATTTTTCCATAAGCAACCATAGAATAAGACTCTGCTCTCACATTTTCAGATGGCAGACATGTATACATCTAATTTTCTTCCTTTTTATGTCTTGAGTTTAAAAATAGAATTGAATATTCTATTCTAGAATAGAATACTCAATAGAATTCACTCAATAGAAGAATTCACATGCATCTTGGGGAATCATCTGAGAGGGATGGTATACACAGAAATATTTTCCTGACAGGGAAAAAGAGCTAGTGCTGTTTGATTATTTATGCTCAATGATTATGGAGTAATTGCTGAGTTATATGGTGTTGATGCTTAGAAGAGCCTGAGAATTTTCCATGACATAATTCATTTTAATTTATAAGCCAGTTATCCAGAATGAAATATTCTTCCTCCTTTGTTATCTTAATATCTTGGTCTTTTAATCTTGTGGCTGTAGTGTTCCCTTAGAAGGAAGTAGGCATCAGTAGTGACCTCCTATGGATACCATTCTCCTTGAAGGGGTTCCAATGGCCACATGCTTAGTTACCTAGAGTTACCAGGAGACTTGCAAGGATATAGCTGGAATAGATGTCCCTGGATATCATTCAAATGACAATAGATATTTATCATTTTTCTGCCTAAAATACAAATTTGAGATATGAGAATATATTTGCTTGTCTTGAAGGCTGTAGTAACAAGTATTTTCTTTCTAAAGTTCAATTCTCAATCATCCAATATAACTAAGGTTTTCAAAATCTAATACTACCTTCACACCCTAAGTGCACAATGACACTTGAACTACAGCAGGGCTCAAGAGCTCCATTTGAATTTATGTACATTAAATAAAATAAATTTGATCACATAGGATGCCTTATACAGAGGTGAGAATAGTAATAATAGTAGTATTATTGCTAATATTCATTGAGCATTCACTATATACTATAAACAGTTTTAGCACATTATATAAATGTATGATAGGATAATTCTGACAACTTTATGGGGTTGGCACAATTATTGTCCTCATCTGAGATTTAGAAAACTGAGGCACTAAAATGACTAAACAATTTGTCCATGTCACATGCAATGTTAAGAACCAAAAGCAGAATCTTATGATAGATATGACTGCAGAGGAACTTACTACTTTTCATTTAAAAAAAAGTGTTGTACTCAGTTTCCAAGCCCCCTACTCACTTTTGAGTTATTTTCTTATCCAGGAAATCACCACTTTTAAAGAATATAAAATGCCTACCTCCTATCAGCCACTATGTGTGGGGAAAACAGCTCCAGCCTGGCCCCAGGATTCTTTGTCTTGAATGGTATCCCTGGGCTGGAAGCTGCACACACCTGGATCGCCCTGCCATTCTGCTTCATGTACATCACCGCTGTCCTGGGGAACTGTGGGCTCATCTACCTCATCAGCCACGAGGAGGCCCTGCATCGGCCCATGTACTACTTCCTGGCCCTGCTCTCCTTCACAGATGTCACCCTGTGCACCACCACGGTACCCAATATGCTGTGCATATTCTGGTTCAACCTCAAGGAGATTCACTTTAATGCCTGCCTGGCTCAGATGTTTTTTGTCCATATGCTGACTGGGATGGAGTCTGGGGTGCTCATGCTCATGGCCCTGGACCGCTACGTGGCCATCTGCCACCCCTTACGTTATTCCACCATCCTCACCAACCCTGTCATCACCAAGGCAGGTCTTGCCACGTTCCTGAGGGGTGTGCTGCTCATCCTCCCATTCACATTCCTCACCAAGCGTCTGCCCTATTGTCGAAGCAACTTTATTCCCCATACCTACTGTGACCACATGTCTGTGGCCAAGGTGTCCTGTGGCAATTTCAAGGTCAATGCTATCTATGGCTTAATGGTTGCTCTCCTTATTGGTGTGTTTGATATATGCTGTATTTCTGTGTCTTACACTATGATATTGAGGGCAGTAGTGAGCCTGTCATCTGCAGATGCTCGTCACAAAGCCTTCAGCACCTGCACATCCCACATATGTGCTATTGTCATCACTTATGTTCCAGCTTTTTTCACATTTTTTGCCCACCGTTTTGGAGGACACAATATCCCCCACCACATACACATCATTGTAGCCAATATTTACTTGCTACTGCCTCCTACAATGAACCCAATTGTTTATGGAGTTAAGACCAAGCAGATCCGGGAAGGTGTGATCAAGTTTTTACTTGGAGATAGGTTGTCTTTACCCAAGACAAATAAATCATCAAATAGACATATTGTTTAGGAAGAGAGGGGCTCAAAAAGAGTGGAGAATACATTTGTAAATGCTGTGAGTAAAATGGTATTAAACATATGAGTCCCTCTAATATGTAGATTTTCTGAAGCCTTTGTAAGTTTATATTATGAAATGTTTCTTCTGTGTAAAGATCTGCCAAAGAAGAGAATACAGAATAAAAAAGAAATGTACCCATTCCTTACAAGTTTTATGTCTTACAAAGGGATTATGTATTTCTATGTCTAGTGAGAACAGTCAGGGAACAGAATGAGGGATGCAGGCATGGTATTGGTGAGTGCACTCTAAGTGAGAAGAGGAGACTATAGTGATGGGGATGTCCTCTCCATAAAGAACAAATTTATACAAATCAAGCACATTGCCATGCATAATGTGGGCCTGCTGTTGCAATATTCTTCAGGTTTTTTTTAAAGATTGTATTTATTTATTCATGAGAAACACAGAGAGAGGCGCCTAGGCAGAGGGAGAAGCAGGCTCCCTGGGAGCCCAATGGGGGACTCTTATCCCAGGACTCTCAGATCACACCCTGAGCCAAAGGCAGACACTGAACTGCTGAGCCACCCAGATGTCCCTCTTCAGTATTTTTTTAATATTGTATTTATTTACTTGAGAGAGAGAGGTGGAGACAGAGACAGAGATAGGGAGAGATAGCAGGAATGGGGAAGAGAGAAGCAGGCTCCCTGCTGAGCAGGAAACCCAACATCAGGGTTTGATTTCAGGACCCAGCACACAGGACCCTGGGATTATGACCTGAGCCAAAGGCAGACACTTAATCCACTGAGCCACCCAGGTGCCCCTATCTTCCAGTATTTTTAAAGACGATCTAGATGTAAATATTTTCTGACATCTCCTGATTTTGATTATTGGCTAAATGTTTTTTTTAAAAAATATTCTAATTTTATTCAAGACGTGTCTTGTAATTGTTTTTTGCCCATTTCATCTGTTTAGGATTTCCATTTAAAATGGCACAGTTGAGGGATCCCTGGGTGGCGCAGCGGTTTAGCGCCTGCCTTTGGCCCAGGGCGCGATCCTGGAGACCCGGGATCGAATCCCACGTCAGGCTCCCGGTGTATGGAGCCTGCTTCTCCCTCTGCCTGTGTCTCTGCCTCTCTCTCTCTCACTGTGTGCCTATCATAAATAAATAAAACAAAAAAAATTAAAAAAAAAAAAATAAAATAAAATAAAATAAAATGGCACAGTTGAGCATCTGACTCTTGGTTTTGGCTCAGACCATGGCCTCATAGTCATGAGATGGAGCCCCACATTAGGCTCTGTGCTCAGTATGGAGTCTGCTTGAATCTCTCTCTCCCTCTCTCTTCACCCTTCCCCTTACGCATTCTCTCTCTCTAAAAAATAAATAAATAAATAAATAAATAAATAAATAAATAAATATCTTTAAAATGCACCTACAAAATGTAATTGTCATGTTATCAGTGAAACAGACAAAAGCAACAGTTAAATGACGAGTATGTGTTATAATTCATTCACTTATTCACTCATATTGAGATACTTATTTAGGTCATATTATCTGTCATACCTTAGGTTTAATGAGAGAGAGAGGCAGAGTCGACTATGAGGTAATCCCTGACCTCAGGGTGCTCAGAATCTGGACTCAAGCCAGGAACACATGAGATGAAACATAAATGAAGGAAAGAGGAGAGATGATAACAATGGACACAGTATAGAGAGAATAAAATGTTAGTTAGGAAAGAGTTGGGGGAAACATAAGTTTTGTATTCATATAGTCCCAAGATTTAAATCTTATGTCTTCATTTCTAGGCACTAGACTTTAACAGGCTATTTAATCTCTCTAAATTTCAGCTTCTATACTTTTAATAAAATGTGAGAAAAACATACTACAAAGATTTATCTGGCTGGTTAAATGCTGTAATGCAAGAAAAAAGAGCACTTAGTATAATATACGTACTAACCACTTCAGAAATTATAGCTGAGATTATTGTTATTATTATAACTTAAATCTTTCAACTCTGATTCATTCCAAACATTATAGTTTGAGGAGAAATCTTTCCAATTATAAAAGTAGTAGAAAATCAGTTTTATTTTATCTCCAAAATGATCATCAAAATCAGCCCACACAGTTTTCTGGATACATTCTATGTGACTAACTCCATGTTATGCACTGAAAAACATAAGTGAACAAAAACACACTAATGAATTTCTAATATAGTATAAGATATAAAATGTGATGGAATCATTATTATAAAATGGTAACAGGGTATTGTACAAAAAATTGTTACAAAATTCATGAAAACTAAATTATTATCAATAGCCATTGTGGCGGTAAGTAAAGATTTTACAGAGAACGTAGCAGATGAGATGAATCTTAATATAAGTATTTAAAGAGAAAGCCTGGTGGGGATTATTATGTTTTAAAAATGAAACAATATATGCAAATTATTAAGGCTAACCAAAGCATAGCCAGTTTAAGCCTAGAAATGTTTTGGAGTGACTGGAGATAAAAGAGAAAGGAGGAGGAACAAAAGACTCAGAAAGACAGATAGAGGTTGGACCTAGAACTGCTCTGTCTGAGTTTCTGTGTGACCTCAGGCATGACAACCTCTGTTCTTGAATTTTGAGAGATACCAAGTTCTTAGAATTGCCCTTCATCTGAAAGTAGCTGCCTGGCTTGTCACCTGCCTAGAATGCTCAGATCTCCAGCATACTCTCTGCCCCTGAAGCCTTTCTCCCTCTCCTTCCTCCTCCATCTTTCTTCTCTCATTGCTGGAAACTCAATTTTTTTCAGTTTCTACTCACTTCTCCAGCATCTCACCTGACTTCTCAGTCTTTGAGTCTTTCTGGCAGAGTGAAGATTCCTTACAAATTCCTCCTGAGTAACTCTTTGTTGAAGGGTTGGCAGCTTGCCTCCACAAAAAAACAGTTTTCCAGAAAATGATAGTAACAACAAAAACATACACATTTATTTTCTAGGTACTTTTCCAAGAATTATATCCTTATTTGATCCTAAAAAAAAACTATGAGGATGATGCTATTTTAGGCTCAGTTTGTAGACAAGCAAACTGAGGTACAGAGAGATTAATGACTAAATGAAAGTCACGTATCCAGTGAGTGATAGAGAATGGACTCAAACCCAGCCAGCTTGGTTCCAGAGTCTTTGATCGTAATGTCTATGATATACTGCATGATGGGGAGGAAGCAAGATACCGGAAGAGTAGGTCCCCTACGTTTTACCAGGTACCCTGAATTTATCTAGATAACCATCAAACCATTTTGAACACCTATGAATTCAACCTGACAAGTAAGAAAAGAATTGCTGGAATTCTACAAATAGAAAACCAAACACTTTTTGCAAGGTAGGAGTGCGGAGAAGGAAAATGAGGGAATATACTGGAAGATAAATGGCTGTGGTTGGGATGGGAGCCTCTGAAAGCCAGCTACTAGAAAGTGATATAGTACCAAAGCACAAAATCGGAACCTTTAGAAATCTACTCCAGTGAGAGATGTCCCTGGCTGAAAGATGCTCAGTGGTGAAGCAGGCCAGAATCTTAGGAGGGACTGTGTGGTCTCAAGATCCCAGAGTCACAGAAAGAACAGGGGTGCCTGATCCAGCAGGGATGGGATAGCAATCCTTGTATCAGAAAAATTCGATTTTTTTAAGTTTTTTTTTTATTTATTCATGAGAGATGAGAGAAAGAGAGAAAGAGAGAGAGAGAGATTTGTCTCTACACAGGCAGAGGGAGAAGGAGACACCATGCAGGGATCCCGACATGGGACTCAATCCCTGGTCTCCAGGATCACGTTGTGAGCAACGCCGGCGCTAAAGCGCTGAGCCACTCGGGCTGCCCAAAAAATTAGATCTTAAACCAAAGACTATAGTACTAGATGAAGAGGAGCACTATATCATACTTAAAGGGTCTTTCCAACAAGAAGATCTAACAATTATAAATATTTATGCTCCTAATGTGGGAGTAGCCAGTTATATAAACCAATTAATAACTAAAATTAAAGAAATACATTGATAGCAATAAAATAATAGTACAGGTTGTTAATACCCCACTCATAGCAATGAACAGATCATCTAAGGAGAAGATAACAGGGAAACAGGGCTTTGAATGACACATTGGACCAAATGGATTTAGGAGATATATTCAGAACATTCTATCCTAATGCAAAAGAATACATATTCTTCCCTAGTGCCCATGGAACATTTTCCAGAATAGACCACATACTGCATCACAAATGAGGTCTCAACTGATACCAAAAAATGGGATTATTCCCTGTATATTTTCAGATCACAATGCTTTGAAACTTGAACTCAATCACAAGTATAAATGTGGAAGGAACATAAACACTTCAAAGTTAAAGAACATCCTACTAAAGAAAGAATGAGTCAACCAGGAAATTAAATAAGAATTTTAAAAATTCATGGAAATAAATGAAAATGAAAATGAAATTGTTCAAAACCTTTGGAATACAGCAGAGTACATTGCAACACAAGCCCTTCTCAAAAAATTAGAAAAATCTCAAATATACAAGCTAACCTTACACCTAAAGGAGCTGGAGAAAGAACAGCAAATAAAGCCCAAACTCAGCAGGAGAAGATAAATTATAAAGATTAAAACATAAACCAATGAAATAGAAACCAGAATAGCAGAACCAGTCAATGAGATTAGAAGCTGGTTCTTTGAAAGAATTAAAAAGATCAATAAATCCCTAGCCAGACTAATTGATAAGAAAAGAGAAAGGACCCAAATTAACAAAATCATGAGTGAAAGAGGAGAGATCACAATCAATGCTAAGAAAATAAAACAATTTGAAGAATATGTTATGAACAATTATATGCTAACAAATTAGGCAATCTAGAAGAAATAGATGGATTCCTAGAGACTTATAAACTACCAAAACTGAAACAGGAAGAAATGGAAAACCTGAACAGAACCATAACCAGCAAGGAAACTGAAGCAGTCATCAAAAACCTCCCAACAAATAAGAGTCCTGGGCCAGATGGTTTC